CTGGGAGGTACTGCGGGATGTGTCTGGAGGTTGAACAACCGGTTGATACGGGTTCGTACACCCTTCTTGATCACCCGAAAATTTACAATTTGTAAGTCAGTCTCACCTTCTTCTGTACGGCGTTTGAGCTCAATGACCGCAGTCTTCAAACGATCCCTGTCCTCGGGTTCCAAGTCTCGGCGGATGTGAACTTTTATGTCTTTCAGCCTTGACAGACGAGACAGTATGAGCTGCGGCATATTAGGATTTGCAAAAATGATCCTCGGAGGTCGGCATGACTGGTTAGTTTTCTGGCCAAGTCGGATTACTTGTTTACTCGTCACACTGTCCTCGCCCACATCCAAGAGTCTATCGATGAGCCCCTGGAGGAACTCAACATCGTGATCATAACGTATCTGAGCGTTTTCATCTTTTGACTCCGGTACGTGGAAGACCATGAGATTATGACGCCTCAACGAAATCAGTGATGAACCTAGAGGCGCTTAACTGATTGGGTTGTTGTTTATCAGCAGGTGACGTCTGAACTCGATTACGTGGGCCCTTGCGCTTTTGAGTGGTCCATGGATCCTCGGTGTTCAGAAGTTCACAGACAGGCTCTGAGAAATTTACGGACCGATCAGTGAAGCGGCATTTCGTAGCTTCTGAGTCTGAGTCTTCCATCGGTGGGAAACATTGAACCTGGGGTTCGGCCGGGGTCGAAGACGCTGGTGGTGGTGCAGATCGCGGAGTGACAATAGAAGGCAAAGAGACAGAGGTACTTTCACGAGGGCGTTTGATCCCACGTGGTGAACGGTTTGTTTCTATCTGAAAGAGAGATTTTCCCGTAGTTGTTTGCGGTCGCTGAGTATTCTGATGTCTTGTACCGCGACATTTATCACATATAACTTGAAAAAACTGATGTCGGATGTCGAGCGATTATCGAAACACGTCAACGGATAAGCCATTGCACGAAATATGGAACAAAACATCACAGCTGAAGCATCGAAGTGCATGAGCCTTATTTCCCACAACTTTCGAACACGAACCACAAGTAGCTTGAGACGGCATCACAAGCTAGAGCAAATCCAAGGTGTTAACCTTGCTGAAATGTGTCTTCCAATTTTATGGCCTCTGGCTACGTATACCGAGATGTGGACCGCATTGTGAATTTGCCAAAAAGAACGTTATATTGGCGGATGTTCTCGCGCCAGACGTTAGACAGGCAAGAACAAACGCATAACAGTGCATGGGTGTAGAAGAAATGCGAAACTTACTTTAGCGGAAAATAAACTGGGGTAATTAAAACTATTATTGGAAAAGCTGAAATCATAATTAACCGAAAATGCTATTCTCGTAAAACTAAAAATTGGTTAATTTTCTCACTGAAAGACCAACTGTGTTTCGAACTCTTATGATGAAGTGTACACTAGTTGTAGTTTTGCATTAGAGTTACATTTGAAATCACCGTTGAGTCAAAGCTCTTAGAGTATGGTTTACGAGAGAAACATTTAAATGAAATCTACCCAAGACTTCAGCTTTAAAGAACTAACTGATTCGACACGCTCCAAGTTTACGACTTTCGAAATCTGATTCACATTAATGCTTTTCTTTTATGTTGTGATCCTAAATTTTATAATGTGGTGGTCTAATATTGAGTCCGTACTGCTGTTTACTTCGTGATTGCGAATGTGTTAATTTAGCTCTGTTTAATCGAACAAATTCGGTTCGTGCCCCGAAGTTCCAAGGTTCCTATTACCATGAACGCTTTGACTATGTAACAAAATTAACGGTTACGAAAACAAAAAAGAAACACCGAGGAAATACAAACAACATGGCGTTAAGGAGGAAATGCTATATCAAGAGTTAGGTATAAAAACCCGGAGATTGAGGCGCTACTTACTACATGCCCCTAATCAGCAAGGTGCCGCTATCAGGTTTAAAACCTTATGCTACGCAGGCGAGTGGCCACTTCTAGCTTCAGCTCACCTGGGTGTAAAGATGACGAGGAATTTGCTTTTGAAGTGACGTAAACGGATATGCAAACGAATTGGCCTAACTAACGTGAGTGCCTGCATTTTAATGTAGTCAGTGAATCAACAGGGGGTTTCTTATTAAGTGCTGGACCTCAGAAATGGCTATCCTCTGTTCTGACTGGACATTAGAAACGCATGGATAAGTGGCTTTACTAAAAGACGTTCAGTTGTCTAGTTGTGGCCATGTGGCCATGTATCCAATATTTGAAGCATCGTGCGCCTTATCACAACGTTATGCACACTACCTTTGTCTGAAATGCTGATAACCCGTTTGCTTCGAAGTTGCTTGAGCCAATGAAAAGCCACATATGCTTTGCCAATACGGGAAGTACACTTCACGTTGATGCAGCCATCAGAGGTGACCAAACTACCAATGGGATTGCGACTTTCGATCACTTTCAATATTACTGCGGTGACACGTATAACTAGTGGCGTGCTCCCCAGTGGTAACAATGCTACGAAACAGCCTATTCAATAGCGTTTACATAGCCACTGCATCCCGTCCTAGGAGAACTATTTCGCCTGCATCCTCGAGATTTACCTTCTGGTTACATGAAGAATTTGGAATACAGTAGATGTTTGGAACACATAACCAATCTTTATTCTTGTAATCACAAAGGTGAAGTGGTAGAGATATATAAGGCAGTTTTACCAGAAACCTATTATCGCGGGAAACTGGAATGACTACTCTGCCTGTGGAGTCACGTTAGGAAGACTTGCGAAAAGAAAGAAAATTTGCTGGTACGTAATTCACGGACAGACTTTGCTGTAAGCTAGCAACATCGACAGATAAGGAAGCAACAGGGATGTTCGGCTACAGGTATGTCTTCGTTTTAATAATTGGCGATAAGCAAATATGTGGGTCGTATTTAGTAACCTCAGATCTGTATAGGATGGGGGAATAAACTGAACCCTTCCCAGAGAATAATAACCCCATTGCATGAGTTAAGTGAAACTACAGTCATATTGATGTTCACTGATATCCATTGGAGTAGGTTGTCTTCAGTGGGCATGCTGAGGGCAACATCGGCAACATAAACATTTTGAGTCCATGACCGATTTTCATCAGAGTTGCGAATAAGGTAACAATTATTGACAGTTGTGGAACCGACTAGTCAAATACCCGTAACGGCGCTGCTAGTTTGTATGCTTTTCTCAGAGACGCAACACAAGAATTCTGAGCGCAGATAGGGGGTGAGAGTGAACGCTGGGCGTGGACCACACTGACGCAGTTTGCGAATCTTGAAAGAACAAGTCGGAAATGAGACACTTGGTTTGAGCAACGAGTTACATGCCTTTGTAAAAGTGGCCAATTTAATGGTGGTGTCTTGCTCATTAGTTGGCGATGAGTTGTCATGTAAGGGCTACAAGATTAACTACTGTGGGTGAAGTAGCAGGAAGAATACGTCCTACTCTCCAACTGCCCATTCCGAAAGAGAGGTTTTGTTCAAGAGGATATACTTACTGCAAGCGACCCAATAACCAGTTCCATAAGGTATTGGGGAATAGTACCAGGTCAGACGTATGGTCGCTGTTTACCATTGAGAGCCGTTGTGGACCGACACACGTACAACTTTAAGTTTTGGATGCATCAGCATTTGTTTGCAACCCCAGTATGCTGCACACTTTCGGCCTTGACCAAAAGCAAATGGCAGTTGGTTTTGTAGCACTCGATTTACCTGATTTTGACTGGTATGCGAGTAACTTCAGTAAATTATTGAACAACAAGTGACGGTGCCCTACTGTCAGAAAAGAGGTATAACTAGAGTTCCTATATCCCTTCTGGGGCTGCATCCTGAACGAAGAAAACTGACCACACCCCAACCCAGAAGGTAATGCTGGATCTGTGTTTGGCTAACGCATAATCACTAACCTGATTGAAGCCAGTGTCTTCTAAGGTAGTTGACACCACCAGCCAATCTAACTTATAGGTATACTGGTAAGTAAACCATCGTACAATGGAAAGTTCCAGCTGAGTGAAGATGGTAGTGAATGTCATGACGTCGAAGTTCATGATGTCTAGGATGTAAAACAAGTGGACATTTTCTCGCAGCGGAATTAAGTAGCCAGGTGTGGACTAGCAATACTTATACTACCGGGTTAGCCATCCTTTGCAAATGTTAGTGGGAATGTTTGAAAAGAAGACTAGGGTATAATGATAAGCGGCATTGCATACCTTACTTCTTGGGCGCCATAATCACCGACGTTACCGCAAGTAAAGCCAACAACATATGAGCGATTCATATTATTCTATTCTGCATCTCGTATTTCCGTATCAACGTCGATCATCCATTGCGAGGCATATAACTCCACTATATACAAAGTAAATGTAATTAGTATAACTTTGTTCATTTTGAACGGGATTGAATTCCTGGCGCGTAATTTCCGTTGACATTGGTGTTTGGGGAATAAATAACTGCACACATCCTAAATATCCGCCGTAACACAAGGGTTAAAAATAATCGTGAATAAATACCTAACTACGTAGCTTTTAGTGGTTCGGTCCAGTTTGCTACTAACACGGTAAGGCGACTGTTCCCATAACAGTATAAAGTGGAGCTACTCAAGATGAAATGCACTAGCCTCAGGCTATTACAGCTGAACAACTGGTGACATTCTCAGTCATCTCAGCGATAGCGTGTTCAAGCATCAGATAACCACGTCTAAGCAGTAAGACATTCTCTTAATTTATCCATACGTTCTGTGAAGTAAGCGATAAAGTTTAGTCGAGGCTGCTATAGTTAAGCAAATGTAAACGTTAACAAGGTGGTTTACAATGACTAAGGTTACATTCCAAAGAATACATTCTGTAGCGGCATGCGACCACTCTTTCCCACCTACCTTTTATGGCATACGATACCTGTTAGTAAATGAATTATATTATTCATAGCCTAATGTCAACTGTCATCATGAACGGATGGCAAATTCCTAACATTAAACGAACTTTACTCTCAGTTTGCAGATTCCTTTTGCTTCAATCCGCACAAGATGTTGTTGGTACATTTCGACTGCTCTATTTTGTGGGTCTCTGACCAAAGTATCCTAACGGACACATTCACAATTGACGCAGTTTATTTGGGCGGACCATACACGGGTATGCCAGAATTCAAGGTCTGTCCTGTATTTTATTTTGCACATTTAAATATCACTGCGTCATTCCAAAACTCTTCTTTGTCTCACACACATGTATGGTCAACCTATGGTTTAGAGAAGGATAATTATAGGTTACTTACCCCGATACATCCTGAAGCAGCTCGGCGAACCAGTATAAAGTTTACTTGTACAATTTCAGCTAGAGCAAGATGAACATGAAACGGCTTTCGGATGAGTAACACCTAATTCCCGTACACTAAATCTGCTGTCCTATCGATCGCAGTTGTCAAGGTTCGTTTCATTGCGAATAACACTCCACAGTGAGATTGCGGGTCGTAATCCACTCACACAATTAAGGATCTCCAAATAACCCTTTAATGAAACAGTTATCCTGCTTCCTATGGTTATTAAACGTTGGCACCTTGGGTACTGTTGTCAAATTTAATGACCATTGGACCAGGAGGCAATAAAACCCATGTGGAATCTCATTCATATTTCCGGTCTAAGTGGATGAACTGAATTTGCCATTAATTGACACTTAGTCTCTGTTTTATGGAGTCTGGTAAAAGAAAATTACCGCTCGAGTAAGCTAATCGGCAATGCTACGCTACTCATCATCCGGCGGACCCGATGAGATCCTTCTTTGTGGTATTGCGCAACTAGAATCCTAAACCGTTGTCAAGCAGGAAGGAGTTACTGATAACGATGAGTTGTCCAGTATTACGTGCCTTAAAACAATAGAGGCAAACAATTAGCTTGTCATGAACCTGATTGTATAAGTAATACACGCCAACTTCATTTTTCAACTCTGTGTCACTAACTTACCACCCATCTAACTCCGCTTGCCTCTTGCTTGTATTGTGTTGCGGCTGCAGCGAACAATCTATGTGTTGCCATTTGAGTCTATGTCTTCTCACTGCGTTAATGCAATGCTACGCTTTTCCACCACTATTGCCTTGGTGTGGTATGAGAGAAAGCAATTAGCACGCCTTCATTATTCTCTACCCTCCCAACTTGTACACTTTCAATCAGAGCTCTTCCTGAATTGTATAGGTAGAAGTTCATCCCGCCCAGACGCAAGCAGACGACAAGCACATGCACGTAAATCACTTAAGACCATTTCCTCTCTCTGGGAGTCGTCAACATTGCTCATTCCATCTGATCTCTGTGTCTCTCGGACCATCCAAACCTCCATACTTATTCCTGAGTTATTTAACGCTTCTGACCAGAAGCAGATTATAGATAACATTGCACTTTCTCTCAACACCGTCCGTTGGGTTAAGGGAATGCCCAGAACATTTAGCTACACAACTTCCGACTGATCTTGCCAAGTGTTTATGATGTAGCCTAGGTAGCAGCGTTTCCTGAGCTGATTGAGGGCTTTGAACTCCAATTCCTTCTGAGTACCTTTACTACCTTTTACCTATACGTAGTATACCATAACGTAAATTGCAACCACACCTAAACATGCCGATTGCCACGATAGACTGTGTTTAACACCAATGAATCAATTGCTCAACTAACCATCTTCAACATGTGCTTAGACTTTTTATATACGGCTCCAGTTATTTATGGATATCAATTTACATAACACAACGAACTTGACTACTTGTTTTAACGTAGCTTGTCTTTCAAAATTAGATTACCTCAGACTGCGTGGAATGATCACGCGGCACTATTTAGGTGTGTAATCTAGAGTGGTTTAAGGCAACTGAGTTATTCATTCTTATTTTACCTTATAATCCCTGAGGTAGGACAACGGTAATGTGAGAATAATTTGTTCTACCAAGTAATCGTAAATCCTACATGACAAACTCTGCGTTTCGTTAAACATCGGTTCACAAGTAGACAGTGATTTCCACGGTGATGTAAGTCAAACAATAACATTGTTACCGCTGCGTATCAGCGTTACTAAAACTCTACTGGGTGTGGTCTCCGCGAATGTAACAGATAACAAAACGTGAGCAGCGTTTACGATAAAATGGGAGCGATAGTTGAAAATCAACCAACTGCAACACTGTTGTTACGTATTTAGAAATGCGCTCAAACGGTGTCTGTTACGAGTAAAACGCAGCCCTTCAGCCACGCGTAACAATCGATCCCGAATAGTTCAAAAGACAAGGTGTATAGTGCTAGTTACATATCGTTAAGGCAGATAGAAGACAGAGGTTGCGATATGTCAACATATCGAATATTTTCTTTAGGAGCAAACATAATACCAACAGAAACACACAAAGGATTATATACATAGAACAAATAAGCACCACCAATCAAAATGAGACAGTAACGACCATGGCAACTGAATTGGTTGCCTCACGAGTTTCTGTGCTCATAGCCTAGGTTGATGGGCCTTAATTAACAACATCTCACTAATTGGCGGCATTGAAGAATAAACAATGATATATTACAGGTAAAAAGGCGATTGCTTTACAAGTCTCGTAGGATGGTTGAAGTGAAAGTAAGCATAAGTGTAAATCGTCGATTTAAGCGTTTAGTGAATTCAAGTGACCCTTATTCATATAAACGTTGTAGAATGTGCACTGAATGGTTACTGTAGAATAATATGGGAACTAATATGTGGAAGGCATGTCTTAAGAACAAGAGAAACGACAAAGCTTACTCGTGGGCAGCTTTCTTGAACTGATTTACATTGATAAATGCAGTTGTAATATATCCGAAACTATATTCCACAACAGCAGTGTGTAAATAGTGAAGCAAAAAAGCTGAGAATGAGCCCTTTTTTTCGCATTTGTTTGACCTGGACATTATCGGGTTTTTGTTGCGTACTGACACTTTGAACGCTGTTTTGGGTTCATCTGAGGCGGGTTGTCATGAGGTGCTTAGTGAAAGTGGATGCCGGGCTCCGATTAAGCCACAGATTCGTCCCAGTTTGTTGCGTAATGGTTTGTCCCAACAACTTTGGCAAATTTAGAGCTACTTTCTGAGCTAAGCTAACTGACGGTTTGTCCTGCCTATGTTAATGTCACCGCAACCGCAGGTGAACTGATAAACAAAGTGAGAGGATAAACTACCCGAGAAGATGCTCTGACAGATATGAAGAAACAGTCCTCGCGTGGTATAACTGAGTCGCAACTGGGCTGTCGTGTAGGTTCGCGTTAGGGTGGACCGGAACTTGCGTTCGATATCATTTGCCACATAGTGCTCTTTGAACTGCAAAAAGAAATAAACTTCCTTTTTCTCAGCCGTCAACACCAGTGTTTTCACGCTGGGATGTCTGCTGTGTACTTGAATAAACTTCTCAGGATATCTATTAGAAACTAAATTCTTGCGCAGGATTTATTCTTCGGCTTGTAACGTTTTGGAGCTGCTAATACGTCTAGCCCGGTAGAAGAGTTTTCACTAAACCGCGTTTGTCTGCGATCGGGGCGAAACTTGAAAAATAAAGGTGCTGTCCAGTCCAAATCGATTTGTGGTGAACAGTGCGCTGCAATGTACTTCAGCCAGTCTCCTAATGAGCATATCCAAAAACGCTACGCACTTATGTTGTTCCACTTCATGGGATACCGACAGATTCGGGTGACTCGAATTCAGGATGGTCAGCAGCCATTTAAATAACCATATGCAATAATTTGTATGGGAATACTCCCTCTACATGAAAGCATAAAGCGCACTGTTGACTTAATAATAAAACCAACCTCCAGTAAGCGAATTTGTCAGCAATCAAAACGATAGAGAAAAGCTCAACCACGGGTACCATCATTCGGCTGTCAGCCATCAAAAGTGCATATGAGCAGTGGGACAAATTACATGATAACGTGTGCTGTCAAACATAGTGGAATGCGATACCTGTTTGGTAAACGAGGTAGAAGTGCATAAGACAGCCGTTTGGTGAATGCTGGAGTGGAACGCTCAAGGTCATAGTGCGGTCGCAAATATGCATGGGGTAGGGAGAAATAAAGACACCCGTACACGCAAATACGCACACACACACAGCGCGCAGGATTTGCCTTAAGGCGTCCAGCGAGGTAATGGGTAGGGGTAGGTTCACAAACTCAACAAAGGTGCACATCAATCGGAAAAAAGCATGGAAAGTTGTTAGTTGATTTCGCACAGGCGCGCATAAACACAGATACGACATAAGTTCAAGCGCATGAAAGAAAGGATAAGCTCATGCGTAAGTAACCAACATAGAGACTCCCTCACGTGACATGACTTAAGAGTTCCGTTAAAATGTTCCAACGTACAAAAGAAATTGGAATTTATCAAAGAACATTTTTGGATGAGCGAACTTGCTGATATGCGCATGATTTTCAGAACGCTATCAATAAACGTAGTATGACGGAAAAAGGCGCATAAGCGTGTTCACTAATCTACCGTGGCTCGCTTATGGTGAACGCCGGTCATTTACGGTTGTTGTCCCCAACATCCGATAGCCATTCAATGTCTAGCAAACTTCGCAAAATGCGAGTGCGCATGCAGCGACATGAATTATTCTCTCACCTTAGTGATGAGGAGGTATGGAATTCTCGGCAGACGAGTGATTTAGTGCAGCGCTCAGCTGAGTGCAAGCGTAACCTCGTAAAGACGCACCGACATGAAGCTGTTTTGATTATCAAGTGAGATGAGTACAGACCGCCACAACGTGTTTCCAGCGTCCGTTAGCTGTCAGCTAACTTCGCGCTGAGTGCCGAAGAACATGGCCCACCGTAGGCGTGGGAGCGAGCGATGGTTTTCTGTGGGTGTCTCGCTGGCTACGCAGCGAAGTCGGCGTAGGCAACCAAACCTGCGGCGCGAATGTGCGCACGTGATGGCAGCTCAGCTGCGGACGAGGTTAGGCCTTACAACCCTTGTCAATGTTCTTGACGCACAGGTAATGGAGCACGAGCAGACAATGTAGTCGAGATCACGTAACGTGCCTGTTGCTCAGTGCGCGCTGATTATTCCACTGAACGGTGAATGAAGTTTAAAAGCCGCATCAGCTTCAAGAAAATACAATGCAATGAAGGCAGGAAAATGTCCCATCACCGCCCGGTGCGTGTTTAAACTAGTGAAGAAGT